TACGTCTTATAAATTTCAACATGGATCCACCCCTGATCCTCATTGTTCAATTTTACAATATCAATTTACTGTACATATAACAACTTTACAATTTGTTGTCCTTCTGTTTATAAACTGTAAATAATTTGAATTCTAGATAGATAGCTTACTTGTTCACAAATACAGGCAGAATCACAGAAATTCCAAATTGAGGAAAATTAAATAATTTTATACTACCTACTGAAAAATACAGAATGATTGCTCCAAATAAAAAACTTAAAGGAAGAGGCAGTTGATTTCCTTTTGTTTTACGCATGGGATGAGACAGAGCAATAGATAAATCTGGACTGGAATTACCTACTACCATTACCTCTGGCAGAACAATGACACACTAAATTCTTGCACTGCCTGGAAGTGGTCTTGAACAGGAAGTGATGTTGAACATATTTCAAGATAGTCTCAAATGATCTGAATGGTTTGAATTGAGCACTAGTTTAACAAAACAAATTTGTTCTCAGGATCTCAATGATTCATTTTTTTTGGAAGGATATAGAATTCCATGAAAAATAGTGTTATAAAGAATGGATTGTCTCTTAAAATATTAAAACTGCAAATTAATTAATAATAAGCAATAGCCTAGAAAATATTTTAACATGTTACATGCCAGTTTCAGTACAGTTTCCAGCCTAAAGTTTTATGATAACAACTTTACAATTTGTTGTCCTTCTGTTTATAAACTGTAAATAATTTGAATTCTAGATAGATAGCTTACTTGTTCACAAATACAGGCAGAATCACAGAAATTCCAAATTGAGGAAAATTAAATAATTTTATACTACCTACTGATAAGAAAGAAGGTAAAACACCCCAAAACTGAGAAGTTTTGGGAGACAAGGACATCAAAATGTAATGGCAAATATAGTATCATGACATATTGAAACAGGGCATTTTGACATTGTCTATATTTTACATTTACATAAATTGTTGATTAATGTAGAAAATGGAAATTATTCCTGAAGAGTTTATGAACAAAAACTAGCATCCAAACAGAATGTTGTGCATATAATCAATTTTAATTACAGAAAATGAAGACAAGGTAATTTTAACAAACAATCATTTACTAATTACACAGATATTTTATTCAACAACTTTAATAAATATTAATTAAAAAGCTTAACATGGAAAAATGTCTATGTTCCTACTGGGCACTGACAATGGCTTAAAAGAGAGATGAAGGACTAATTTCTCATAAACAACGTGAACAAATGATTAAATTCAACAACAGAACTGTACTTATGGGATATATACAGACACCCACACATGCACTCGCACAAATTTACAGGGGTTATTCTGAAAGCAAAATATACATAGAAAAGCAAGAGGTTAAAATTAAATTTTGGAGTGGTCCTTTAGGTATTATGAACACAAATATCCAGTGAAATGTATGTTAAAAGGAGGTAAATGAAAAGAAAGATTGAAAAATTTATTAGAAGAAATACTAGAAAATGAGGGGATGATCAAGAACATACTATTTAAATATCAGTTGAATGACAAAGACACAAAATTTTGGGTGAAACAAATTTTGGGTGATTTTTGAGAGAAACATTTGAGAGATACAGTTCAAAAAGATCCTGCTATTTAGTAACGGTCTGAGTGAAATCAACTTGATGCTTTATATACACTGAAATTCTGAGGAAAACAACATCTGATATCCAGAAACTCTTACAAAGTATTAAAATTGGAAAAATTATATTTTAATTGCTTCATTGAAAAGCTTGAGAATGATATTACTTTCAAAATAAATATGATTTCTTGAGAAAATTTTCTCTCCAAAATCTAATGATAGTTTCAGCACATTTGTAAACAAAATTACAATGTTAAGTGGAAATAAACTGCAATACAAAGAAGTAATACCGAATTTGAGAATGAAGAACTTGTATCTTGAAGCATTTCACATTTTGTAAACATTCTAAATTATCTCCCTTTGTAGCTCATCGAAAACAATGACCATGGTTGGGCACTAATTCATATTTATCAGACCTAAGAATTAATCTCGTGTCTATCTATTTCAACATTTTTTCCCCGCAATCCGAAGACCACAAAATGAAGAGTTTAAATTTTCCACAGTTCCTTTAACATCATCCATTTCAACATAACAATGGGTAGTACATTTATAAAATACTTCTGTAAGGGCATTTAATTACATAATATACGTTGGGTCCCTTTATTTCACAGGGTTTTACAAAACAGCAGTAACTATAAGTTAACAATAATAAACAAGAACAATCATAACAAAAATTAAACCAACAATAAATTTTATACTGAGAAATGCGATGATGGTAATGATGATAATAATAATTTAAAAAAGTTGCGAATCATTCATCCAATAAGTTCAATGAAAACTGACTATAATAAAATATAGGCATAACATTCATTTCACGAATTGTATCATTAAAGCATAAATCAAAGAAACAAAAACTTATTTCTTACAAAATAAAATAAAAGTACAATAAACAGGTAATGCCAACACATTTTCACAAACACCTCATACTACTTTACAATCATTTAAAACTCTCACCAAAAAAAGTGATCTAATTTCACCACTTGCTGGAGTGTGATTGTTCAATACCATTATGGCGCCTCTTCTCACATTTTTAAACATAAAAATTCTCCTTACCAAGTTTGGGAAGTGAATGATTTCAAGATTGAATACAAAATTTGTTTCATATAATGTTAAATAAACCAATACTTCCCTCCACAATATATTTCGGTAAAACCATGTATGTAACATGTTTAACAATATAAATAGTTCACAAAAAATGACACTACATAAATATACATTACAGAATCTATGTAAAACGGTTCAACAAAAAATTAGGATTTCAATATAATGACAACACAAATTTAAAAAAAAAAAAAAAAAAAAAAAAAAAATCAACAAGAAATAAGTTTAGTACACCTATATTGCAAAAGACCAAATGGCTTCCACATTTGCTGAAAAATAAAATAATCAGTTCTCATAAACTTAATACTTCACTAGAGACAATAGCAGGAAGAGAGAGAATTATTTTCTGTTAAACATGCTTACAAAAATACAGAATACAATTAGCATATTTTTAAAAGATACAAGGTCTGTTCCCTTCTTGATTCTCCATTTTCCAAATAAAAATAAAAATATACACACAAGAAGTACCCAACATTCTGGAGAGAAGTCTAAATTCAACAAATGGTCAGAGGCAGAAATAAATGAATGTCAGGATATGTTACAGAACACATTTACACGACATAACATGTGGTTCAGTCTTGGAATTTGACCAAGTCATAATTCAATAAAAAATAAAATTTTAGAAATCAATACCAAATGGACATAAACAATCAACAGAATACTTTATTAAAAGTATACTCTTATAAAAGTACTCTATAACTCTGGAAGATGATTCACAGGTAAAATATTGGTTCTTTCAAGATAAAGTTGTAACTGAACATTAGTACCACCTATCTTTATTATGTCTTGCTAGTTAAAATTTTTTAAATACAAATTTACTAATTACTTTTGGCAATATTACATACTTGAATACAAATTATAATTTGACACATAATCATTAATATGAAAATATTTGTAAAAAATAAAATGAAATAATATACAAAAAAGGCAAGAGAGATGAAATGGAAGCAGATAAAAACCTGATGTATGTATCTAATGGAAGTAAGATAATCTTAATTTTTGTACATGCAGGTTACAGATCAATAATTTGAAATCACAATTCAATAAACTGACAAAATAACATTAATATCAAAGAGTACTGAATCTGAATTATGTTAAAAAACTAAAACCTTGGGTAATTGATTAACAAACAAAGATGTAAGATTTATCACATTCTTATTCTGTAGCTATTTCAATTATGGAAATCAATGCACCACTCCATTTGCATTTTATCCATCGAATTTGCAATACATAGAAAAATAGCAAATGGAAGATTTGAAAATATAAGAGAACGAAGGATGAGGAAGACAAAAATGAAGGAAACAACTTTTTCTGCCAGTCAGTGTTGCTACAAAAACTACTTGAAGAATTGATAAAACTTTGAACAATATTTGTTTTTTCATCAGTGATGAATTTCACAATTTCCTTTTTTTTTTGAAAAAAGGAAAATTTGCAGGGTTAGTACGGCAGTCTTTTAATGAGGGTAAATCAGAATTGTAGGCCCATGTCATAAGTACATTCAAAATAACATGCAGATTATTAAACAAACTTGAAAGACAAGACTAGGGTGGAGCACCAACAGCTTGTAACATACACATGAATATATTAGATATTCAAATTTGCAATGTAAAATTGTTTAATTTACTCATAACACCCCTGCAATTAACTCCTTTCAAACCAAAAAGGTGAAAAGTTTAGAATACTGATCTGACTTTTGCCTATTTGAAGTTCAAAATTAGAGTCATTTAAACCAATTTAAGATCTTCTCATTTTTAAAAATCAGTATTTCATTGGACAATACTATGTTAAAAAACGGATATTAATAGAATGGTTTTAAGGACAGAATTGATACACACAATGGTGCCACCAAACAACAAAAAATGTTAGGTTACAAATCAATTTCAAATTTTTGTTTACTTCTACAAAAGACCTACCAACAAGATTTACACTAAAATGAACATTTTCATAGGCTTCCTAACATTATGAAAGTTAGTTCATAAAATATTATGAAGTTCATAATATATTCCACTTGACTTGACTTGAAATGTATTTTTTTTACATTGATATCTCAATTAAATTCACTATATAGAAATTAATTTTGAAAAGAAATCACGAATTTTCAGTGAGCATGAATACTGATTTTTTTTAAATAAATAAAATAAGCTTAAGTCAGATACTTTATTCTGCAATAACTATGGGTACTTTCAATATTGCCTCGATTTCTATAAAATAGAATTTACATTTTTTCAAATAAATTAATTATGTAATGTTAGTTAATGACAACAAATGAAAAGTTTGAAATTTACACAAATATTCATGTTTGAGCACATTACAACAAGAATACTTGAACAATAAATAAGTAATCCAATCTGACAGGACAAGAAGATGCAGCAAAAGGCAGAACATTGGAACAGGATGGGGGAGGATAATGGAAACAAAGTAAGACACTAGAGGTGGATTAAAATAGACAGGACGATATTTACCACAGCAAGGCAAGGTGGACTAAATTCAGGAAGTGATAATAGTAATTGTGATTTTCAGTTTCATTTCTATCATTTAAAACTGATAAACTCCAGCTTCTACACTCAGAAAAATAACTAGAATAGTTTCAGGAGTAAAACACACAAATATGCATATAAAATCATGAATGAAACACAGTGATGAAACACAGATATGCTCTTGTACAACAGGATTATCACCAGCATGAATTCAATAATCAGAAATTGTGAATTACAAATAGTGCTTAAACTGATCAAGAATATTTTAAGAAAGGGAAGAAGAAAAAATATAACAATATTTGATAATAACAATTTCAAACATCAACCCACATGTATGATTGGACATTTATTCACAGAACAAGATTATAATGAAGAGGAAGGCAAAAAAGGGAAGAAAAGAAAGAAAAATATGTAACATACTACCAGCATATGAGGAGGAGGAGGAACCACTACTAACCTGACAATTCAAAATCTGTGACTGGATGTCCAGTCAATGACGTGATAATTCCTGATAACCACTTCTCTGACATTTTAAAATATTGTATATTAAAAAAAAAAAAAAGTTCTTCAGAATAAATTTAAATAAAAGTGATCTGCATAGACACTATGTTTTCAAAACTACATCAATATCTGACACAATATTTATAAATAATTCATAGATGTGGACAAACAGAATAAATAAGAAAGAAAAAAATATACTCAAAATCCACTATAAGAAACGAAATTCTCTTGTTGCTAGCAACAGCATCAAGAAACAAATAATAACATCAATGCAACTATCCAAACACAAGATTAAATTTACAATATGAGACACAATATATATATTGTCTACTACAAAAAAGAAAAAAGCCAGTTTCCTACTCAAACAATGTTGAAAAAATATCACTGATCCTTAACATCTAGTCAAAATTGCTTCAAGCACAAACTAAAAATTGTGCTTGTTTGATGATGATGATGATGATAATAATAATAATAATCTTATTAAAAACAAACTAATTAAAACTGAATTTTTATTTAAACAAAAATCAATTCAATTATTACATTAGAGCATGTGTGCACTCACCAGCAAGTAAATTAAGAGTTCCAAAATTCAAAAGAAACTAATTAGCTCACTTTCCTGGTAATCACCTAGAATTAATTGGATTGTTGGTGAATTAGATACCTTTTTATTATGATAAATAAATAAAGATATTGTCAGATATCAATATTTTAATTCAACTTATGATAATTTCGATCGCCAAGCGATCATCCTCAGAGCTTGCAGCTACTGGGCCGAAAACAAAGTTCTGCAGAATTTATTTATCATAATCACCTAGAACTTTTAGAGAAGTACACTTAACATTTTATGAAAATATTCTGATAAGTGCATCAGAAAAGATATTAATTTACCTTTCTCATCTAAACCAGAAAATTTTCTAGATTAAGTTACTGGTACGATAATGCAAACATTTTTATCTAAACATTAATATATGTATAAGCAATTTGAATTAATCTATTTTTAGTTCAAACCCAACCATATGACCAATGATATTTTTTCATCATTCCAAATAGTTGATCCTAGGCTGTTAACTCCTCCTTAATATTTTAAATATGATAATCACACGTGTTACTGGCATAAATTATTTTCTTGTGTTTTCATCCATTTAAACTTCAGAATAAAACAGATATACAGTGAAAAGGATTTATGATACAAATGCCAATACAACTGAAACTTTTATTGTTTTTAATGTTATTTCTTCATTAAAATTCTCTAACGAGAGAGTGTGTTCATTTTGATATTCAATTGGTTTCATGTTAAATCCTTTGCGTTTTGACCCTCAAAATCAATGCCTTTGGTGATTTTATTGTTTCTTAGCATTCCAAAGTGGAGCTCTTAAATTGTTTTGTCATCTTGCCTGCTTCTTAATATTTTAAAACCAACAGGCTTCAATAATATTGTACACAATTTAATATTTCTTTGACTCTACTCATACACATTACAGAAACTGTCATCGATTTTTTTCTCAAAACAATTCAAAAGAACCAATATCTGTGTTCAAACTAAGAAAGTAGAAGTCAGAGTACTTCTGACACTGGAACACATGTAGAGAAACATACACACATCTCATTGCCAAACATCTAATATTGAATCGGCTAGGGTTAAAAAATGTTTGTACCTGTAAAGTTTATATAAATAAACAGTAAATGCTATCTTTAACTGTCTCTTTCAAAATTATTGTTCTCTCTTTCCTCAGAATTCTTAGAGCAAGAGTTGAAGCATATTTCTACAAACTTCTGGACAGTGAAAATATATGACCACAGAATAAAAATTAAACAACAATCTTAAATATTTGAAATGTGTGATGTTATACGTGGGAACTCAAGACTTGAGGGATATGAGTAACCCATGTGCCTGTGATAAAAAAAAAGTTGTAGTTTATGAATTTGTACTCACAAATTAGGATTATCTTTTCTTCCAAGCTAACAGCAAGACAAAAAAGGAAAGAAAAGACATTAAAATTGTGCAAATCTCAAAATAAGATTTATGAAACAAGCTTTCAATTTAATTTTTTATTTACATAACCTTCTATATATATCCATTCCTCTGAATTTTGACAAGACTGATAAACACAACACACATTCAAATTAATATTTTAATTTTCATTCATAAGAACAACAAGACTTAAGAGCCAAAGTACAATACATGTAATGAAAGTTCAACAGAAACACATTACCTAAAGAAATCATTACTTGACGTCGATGATAAGTGTTGCTTGTCAAAAAAATATTGCTTAATGGAATACTATAGTTTTTATTTTCACTATAGTTTTCATTAATTAATTCATTTCCTTCATGAAACAACATCCAAATGAGACTTCTTCCATTTTTATGTCAAACAAGAAATGGGCAAAATTTACCTTGACAATAAACATTCAGTCTCAATTTGATCTTTTTATGTTCTCTTAACAAACTCTGTCTGATTAATAAAGAGAGGGTCTGACAAAAAAAAAAAAAGGGGGGGGGGCAGATAAATAAAAATCTCGAATGATCTGTTCTGTTACCTTGGATTATATGCCATTACCAATTGTCGTATCACAAAACCAAAATAATTAATATAACACAAAATCTCATTTTTCAAATAAGAGTTGTGGATACAATACATAAAAGACTAGTGTAGAACTAAGCACGTGCAAACTCTCTCTATGAAAGCAAATACAATGGACAAAATAATCTTCGTTGTATCTAGTAACAAATTTAGTTACAACTAGAGTAGAATACTGTTGGTTACAAATAAAGACACACTTCAAATTAACTAAACTGTTAATACTCCTCTGTTCTATATAATTCAATTCACTACAATTCAAATATATTGCTTAAAATTAAAAAATTCAATTCTTACCATCACAAAATTGCAGATATTTTAAATTATTGTTTATTAGAAAGTTGAATACATTATAATTTAGTAGCAAAGGTGTAAATTCATCATATAAAATGGCCATAGAACTTATATTGCTGCTTCATATATAATTAATATAATATTCATATATAAATAATGTTGTCATGAACTTCCAAATGCATTTGATGCAGTCTAAATAGTAATTTTTTAATCTTAAAAATAAAATATTATTAAAAAAATATACACCATAGAAATTATTTCCTTCGATAGTTTTAATAGACAAAGAAGATTATAGTAATGATATAAAAAAAATGAAAAACTAGAAGAAAGGGGGAAGAAAAATGCAGTTTGATCTAATAATGCTTAGTTAAATTTGTAAGGTTATTAAAAATGTTTATTTCAATTCAAAAGGGGGTAAGAAAATTAAAACTACACTAAGATAGCATAAAGAATGTAGTGTTTACAAAACCAGCAAGAATTATAAGTTGTAAATTAGGCTTGGAAATTTCAGCACGTTAAAATTATTTTGACTGCTGTAAGAGATGTAATAAAGTTGTAAGCTCTTAATAAGAAATGCTGGAAAGAATTTAATTATAGATGGAAGAGTTTCACTTACATTAATTAATTCTATATAAAAAGGAAACTCGTACAGTTTAATGTGAAAAAAACAACATAACACTTGTTTTCATTGTGAAAGCACTACAAATGTACGTATTTTGATACAAGGGATAAAAATACTATAATATAATACAATATTGTGCATTCATTTTTTAAAACTTATAAAACAATGACACTTCAAAAACTACAGCTATCAGATAACAAGCAAAGAGAAGTCGATGACATCACAAAACAAATGACATTTTGTTGAACAAATTACATTTAAACTCCTGAGTGACTAGAGCAAATTTACAACAACAAATGAAAAAATAACAGGCCATTTAACAGGCTATTAAAATTTCTCATACAGAGAGAGCATTCTTGTTAAAAAAGAAAAAGATGTAGCACACACAACTTCTTCGGAATTTGAAATAAAATTACATTCTCTACTAATTGTTAGAATCAGCAAAAATAAAATTAAGAGTAAAAACTCTTCTCCAAGTCCCTGGGTATGGAGAAAAGGAAATGCAACACATTATTGAGAATTACTGCCAAGGACATTTACAGCTATATTTTTGGATATTGTTGACAATGATTTCATGCAACTTCATGCCCAGGTTTAAAAGAGGGTTTTAAACTACTTTCTCATTAAATAAAAGGGTAGTTGATTACAAGAGAAATAATGTGAGGTATTAAAAAAATTATTAAAATGAGCAAACAAGGTACATTTTAATATGATGAGTCAATAAAATAATTCTTCCACCAATAATTATTCTACTCTGAATTCTTGCTTTTCAATATTACAAGTTTGTTCACTTTATAACAGTAACATTAACATCCAAGACCAAGTAAGAATCAATAGCAATATTGACAATTGGTAATGAACCAATATGGAATAAACAAACAAAAAAAGAAGATAATACGTACTGAAAGTGTATTCACACTTTACAATGAACATGATAAATTTTTGTAACAACCATCAATTTACTATATGTGTAATAGAAAAGGTAATACACTTAAAATAATGATAGGAACATTAAATATCACCAAGAATAATGTATTAGGTGCTCTTAATGAATAAATTACTATAATCGGAGGGCAATAGTCAATGCCTATCTTTATTTGTCAGACAGAATTACCCACTGAAATGAGAAAAAACAAACTTTTCTTAAAACTTGCTAAAGCCCTATCAATTCGTCACCAAGCTATCACATACCTGAGAAACCTCAGGGATTATTGCCACAGTACGATGTACAATCATGTAAGCACCATAGAGTAGTATACACACATCCTATCTACATGGACAGCAACAAGTGACCAATAAAGTCACATTGTTGTAAGAGTTTGTACAAAGAATTTTCATGGCTGTCAAGAACTCCCTGTACTGATACATGTACCTTAGCACACTGCAAATCCAGAGTAGAACACACATTCATGCAGTGCGATTGAACATTTGTATCCCTTTCAATGTGGCAAACACATGATGATTGGATGCTGCAAGAGCAATGATGCTGACGTCGCTAGCTCCAGGATGGATCATAAGCTTTCCAGTTAGCATTTGGAGCCAAGTATACTCGACGTCCTTTGTACATGAAGCTTACAACTCCACGATAGCCAGTTCGAGGAACACCGCTCTGCAAAATCAAATTTTCGTAGTTAATTTTCAAAATTTCTATCTCATATGAATATGCTCTTAGGATCCTAATGAGGTTCTCTAGCAGAAATGTAGGAAATCTAAAATTGGTAGTGACAAGGAAAAATGTCAAATATAATAATTTTTTTTCTTCATATTTTGATGTGATAAGCATGACAAAAGCTCTAGAATTATGAACATTTTTCACCCCAATCACATCGACTATTTACTAAAATTATAGCCATGATCATGAATAGAGACACTCCTGCAAACAAATAGTAACAGCAAAAAAGATGAATGCTTTAAAAACGGGGTGATGCATATTGAATAAATATTATATACCTAAATGGGGTAACTTGCTAGACTTCACTCTTTATTAAAAATATTTTAACTCACTCTGAAGTCATCCATAAGCCCCAGCATTTTAGCAGTATGCTTAAATGCATCCTTTGTGTAATAGGGAATGCGCACTGGTCCAGGAGCCACGATGCTACCAGAGCGGAGTTCCTGATACGTTACGACTGGACTATCATACACACGCCGTACAAATTCCACATCATAATTGTCCTGTACAAGACACAGCATATTGTAAAGGTCATAAAAAATAAATCTATAACTTCACTTTCAAGTTATTAAGCAATTAAAAAAACAGATTATTTAATTAATCATATTTTTAATAAGCCTAAGCTGCTTTTTATTACCTACACACTTATATTACATATTCATATATATAGGACAAAGAATTTATACCCATTGAAGTTTTTTAGTACAGAAAAAAAATTAGTTTAATACTTGAACAAACCATACCATATGCTAGCGTCACAAGTAAAAATAGCAAAGTTTCATTTAATATTGTATTATACAAAGGCTCTAATGTAGTATGTAAGAATCACTCACCTTGAGTAAATAGCTCAGGTCTTGCTGAGTAAAAGGCACAAATTTGTCACTTAATTTGATGTATTTGAGATGCTTGTCATAAAAATGTCCACTGTAAAATAGAGAGTATAATTAGTGAAGTATTTGCATATGTAACTCAGTAGAAAAAAGCAACAAAACACATATAATCTTAACACATTGTAACTAATAAATTAATTTGACCTCAGAAATTCTACCAACCAATAAAAATATCACATGTAGTTTTTCTATTATATACAATGAATTTTCGTGTAAGCGTCTTAGACTGAAATATGGCTCCAGTTATCTATGTATATTGTAATGGGACGGTCGTACGCGTCAGATTGCGACGCGTATTTCAATACGACGTAGCTATAAAGAGGTCTGAAAACGAGCATTTTTCACTACCTGCGAGGGCATAGGAAGCGTCGGGGACGCGGAGGCATGCAGCTCTATTGTCTCGACACAGGCGAGACCCGGCCACATCCACTGACTCACCGGGAAATACGGACGCCGCTGTTTCCTAACACGGCAATTCCGCGGCACCTGTTCTTGGAACTTGAGTGACTATTGAGTTCCAACGGAATTTGGTCAATCAACTGTCATCAACGACGCCGCGATTGGGCGGAAGAAACCGTGTGAAGCGCGACCGCCAATCACGGAAAACGAAGCGAGCCACGTGACCCGCGAAGCTGAGGAGGTAGTTGCGACACGCAAGCTAGGTCATTCCGATAGAGGAGAGAGCGAGTACAAGTACCTTTCCGAGGTAGGGACGGAGCGAGTTTCTTTGGCTTAGGGGGGACACCAGTGAATGCATTACCGCATAGCCGCCGTCCGAATGCATCATCGCCACATCGCGGCCCGCCTCTGGGGTCGCTAACTCGAGGACTAATGCCAATGGCCATGCTGTCCGCGCGAGCCCAACACTGACGACGGGCCGAGGCGCAACCAGCGCTGCTGCGAAATGCGCCGCCGATGCCCGGACCAGTGTTGCTGGCGCCCGCTTGCTGCCGCAAACGCTGCGCGCGAAACCGGGGTCGTGACCGCCGGGCCGACTCCCACAAACTCTGGTCCGTACGGCCGAATTTAAGATAAGCTAGATATAAGGTAGTTTTAAGGAATAATTATATCGGGAGGCTTCACCTCATGCAAAGGAAACATTAAATCCACCTTTGAAAATACCATGTGTTTCAATGCAGTATTAGAACGAGAGTAAGACCTATCACGCATGCCTCTCTTTAAAGAGTCTACGGACTGAGCAGCCGGGGCAACGCTGGATCGCCGTAACCAGTAGGCAAAAGTCGGGGCAGCCACACAGTGTGTAGTTACAATATGTATGCACATATACTGTGGCAGAATATTCTGTATGAAGTCCAAAACATGGTAAATGTTAAGAGTAGCTGGATAATTTGCACATGGTGTAGCCACATGGTGTGGATAAAGCTTAGCAGATAATTACTAATTTATCATAAAACAAAACTGGCAGTAAAGGGACAAAGAAACATACAATATTTCCCATCTCTCTCAAATAACATTATATATTCCGCTTTCTCTCAACCAAAAAAAATTCTAAGGGGAGAATCGTCATCGCCGAGCACCTCCCAGTCGATGGCTAGGCAATGTCTTCGTAGGCTGCCAATAAATTTCGTACAATCAGGAGGAAGTGTTCCACAGAAATAACCATTGTGCATGAGTAACAGATGGGAGGAGTTTCACCTTGGAGGAAACCATACGAAAAATGGCAGTCTCCAATACAAAGACGGGTTAAAATGACTTCCTCACGCCTAGAACAGGACGAGGAACCCCAGGGATTAACAGAATCCTTTATCGCACTTTCTTCAAAAGTGGTTTTGAGCCACTACGTTTGCCACATTCTAAAGACTGATAGTTTCGAAAAACTTAACATCGGACAATGGTACAGACGGAATGTCAATATGGGTCTTCCGCGTCGCCGATTTCGCCGCCTGGCCGGCCAACTCATTCCCTGTGATTCTCAAATGGCCTGCAACCCAAAGAAGTACCAGATCATAGTGGCGAGACAGGTTTAGAACTGATTTCGTCAGATAGTCTGATGAAGAATAGGAGACAAGAGCTCGAGAATCAGAACAGAGAACTACTCACCGCAACGTCGCTGACTCGTATTTTAGGGCATTGAGAATTGCATACATTTCGGCAGTAAATTTATTCTGCACTCAGAATGAAGTCGATATGATTTGGTGACCCTGATACAATAAAAACTACAAGTCACAGTGTAATTGTATGATGAACCATCTGTGTACAAGAATATATGATCCGGGTAGGCTTCCCTCATAACCTGAAACTGCATCTGGTAAACAAGAGGACTAGTAGTTTGTTTGGGAAGATTGGAGAATCGGAGGTCAATATTGGGGCGACGAAGTTTTCAATGGGGAATCGGTCACTTGGGGGGTTTCACAAAGGTGGGAAGATCGACATTAAGTTCGACAAAATATTTTGCATTCGAATACCTGGAGGCTGGAGTAGCGACCTTTGAAGAATATATGAGGTCTCATATATAAGATGGGAAATAATTCGGGTACAAGAATGGTTAAAGAGTCCTGACACTTCAGCACCATAAGACCTTAATAGAATATCCCGCCTTCTTTATACGAATGGCTCCCTAGCCTCAGCTAGAAAGCATCCGATTCGGCTGAAGCGATACGCATCTGTTAAGAGGCAGATACTTGTGTCGTGTATGCTGTTAATGGGTCGAAGAACAGGAGCTGCAGAGCCACACACTCCACTACCGTAATCCAAGGCTGAGCGGATGAGTGATATATAACTGCAATAGGTTAATGTGGTTCGCTCCCCACTCAGCATACGAAGAAGATTACGGCGGGAGACACCTCTGGTTTGTAGTGTGCGGATACGAGCACACCTCGTGAGGAAGTTGTCAAAAGTGTGCCCCAATAACCTGGCAGATTCAGCGAACGGCAGCTGATTTCCTACCAATTAACAGACAAGATTGCTACGCAAGTGCAGAAATGCACACCAGTAGATTTAGTTATAGAGAAGTTAAAACGCTGTTGACGTGCTACATTAATGGAACTTGTTAAGCACCAGTTGAAGTTGCCTCTGGATCACACTGATGGTGCTGGATGAACAGATGGCAAAATCATTCACAAACAGCGATGCCTCAACACGTTCTCGCAGGACCGACAATATACTATTTATGACAATGGCAAACACAGAGACACTTATCACCGACTCTTGAGGGATGTTTTCAAGAGGGTGACTGATAAGACAGTTTGTCGCCAATGCGAAATCAGAAAGATCTATTCGAGAAAAAAAAAAAAAGAAAGAAAAAGGGGGAACTTCCCCCTAAAACACCGTGAGTACACGGTCCGCAGAATGGCCGTACCTCCGACTGGTGACACAGGCCTTTTCTATATCGAATAGTACAGCCACAAGGTGTTGCCACAGGAAGAATGATTTTGAAATTTCAGTTGCCAAAGCGACATGATGGTCCAGGATAGATTGGTATTTCCTAAATCCTCACTGGAGTGAAGTGAGCTTATTTCTGCACTATTAAGTCCAGATCAAATGCTGATTTACCATCCGTACCAGCATTATGCAAACAGCTGGAAAGAGAGGATGGTAGCTTGATGGAACGATCGATCCTTTGCTTACTTTAGAGTTGGGATAGCTATGGCTTCTCACCATAGAGCAGGGATGGTGTGCTCTTCCCAGATGTGATTATAAAGGTGGCGGAGAAATTGCATCGCCACATCAGAAAGATGCAGTAGCTTTTGGTTGTTTACTCCATCAGCACCTGGGGCAGTTCTTTTCGCGAACGCCAGAGCAGAGTGCAATTTCAACATGGAGAAAGAGATGTTATAACGGACAAACGCTCTCCAAGAAAATTCCAACGGATGATCCTCCATCCCCTCTTTAACCAAAAGAAGGCCGGAAGCGTAGTTCGCTGAACTTGACATATGTTCATAGTGTGCGGCGAGTTCCTCTACAATCACATCTGGACACGTTATCATCTCTCCATTTTTAAGGAGAGCTGGCACCGTATTTGGTGAAGTGTCCTTTAAATAGCGAATTATTTTCCATACCAGATGCGGTGGCGTGTAGCAATTGAGAGAAGAGCAGTATGCTCTCCACGATGCATTTTTACTTTCTCGCACTTACTAACGTAAGAAGAGAAAGCATTGTAATCATGCGCCGGAAAACGGCGAATTTTCGACACAAAACCTCATATTGCAGGGCCCTGGTAACGGACGTGGATAATTCCAGTTGCTAAATCTAGAAAAAAAACAACTCTAAAATGTGGTGTAGCCAGAATCCATGTTTTGTGCGTCGTTCATACCGAAAAATGAATTGACAGCAAAATGTCTGCTTGTCTGTGTACAATGCTGGTGCATAAACTGACTAGCTGATTTTCTCTGAATATTGAACTTGGCTAACAGTGATCACAAGCTACTAAATAGTTCTTTGTAAAGTATGTCTTCAAATTCAAAGACATAAAAAGTAAGTCAGTGAACACACAGACTTAATAAAGAACTTCTTGATGATCCAAGTATTTAAGACCTGGACCACAGAGAAATAAAGGATTCAATTAAATTTGTATCAAAGTATTGGAAGAAAAGAATAGAAAATAATTGAAGAAAAGTCAGAAGAAACATCTTAAAAGCTGCACACAAAGCCACAAATCAACTGGGTTGGGGGTGAAATAAACAACCAATGATCAAATATGGAGAACAGGATTTATTAAGAGAAATTGTAAAGGTAATAAATCAATTTTTTGCCAAATCAAGTGTTCTGAAAGAGTTGAAGACTAGCATTCTGATACCAGTTCGTAAGACGAACAACCAAAAAGAACCAGAGAATTTCAGAGGAATAAATCTACTACTTACTAAGATAATCCGTACAAAATTAATGTGACAAACAACAGGGCTTTATAGTTGGACTATTATGCACTGATACCATGAGCAAGGCAAATTGCAGAAAAGGCTACAGAATTTAATAAACCAGCATTATTATGTTTTATTGACTTGAGGAAAAGCTTTCAACACCTTACAATTAGAGACAGTTTTAAATCAAGAACACCACCCCAAATGAACTGATCACATTAATCTTAAATATTTATTGATTGGTTCAAGATTAAGGTAGATGGGAAAATAACATACAAGATTTCTTGAGCAAGGAGTTTGACAGGGAGATTCTTTGAGCCCTCTCCTTTTTATTACTGTTTTGGACAAGATAATAAAAGAAGTAAGACGCTAACAAGATACAGAATGGAAATAAAAATTAAGATGATTCACTATGCTAACAACGTGGTATTAATTAACAATGTGATATTAAGTATATTGTAACATGACATAAGGGGTGAAATAAGCAGTGAGTATGAGAATACAACCAAATTAAAATTCAATCAGTGCAACTATACAATCAAATATTTGCATTTTTCAGTAAAAATACAAACTGTTTCACTGTTTTTGGATTTATCCCGAGTTCTTGGAAATCTAACAAAACCATGGAACCTTTCACATATCCGGAGGTTGCATAGTTTACTTTGAATGTCTGCATTCCTTGGAAATTAGTAATATAGATGTGCACATGAAATTTTGTTTCATTTCAGCAATGAGCAATCACAGTACTCATCTTGCCCAAAGCTTGTTCATGTTCAATTGATAATACAAAATAAAATATACTTGGTCGAGATACTTGCAGCCTCTGGCAACTCTTGCACTTTTGCTCGCCTGTCAGCCAAAACAGTATTGTAGAATTTGTCTATTTTCTAGTATCACAACAGATTTTGGGCTCCAAGAACATGTATCTTTCATGCTTGTTCTGCTACACTTAAATTATTTGATTCAAAGTATCCCCATCTTATAAGAAAGGAATGAGTCACTCAACGCAGGTGCTACTCATACTTAATTTCTTTTGTGTTTCATACCTAATTTCTTGTGGTATTTTTGCACAATCAGCACCTCCTTCTGGCTTTGGTTTCTCCCTTAATAATTACGTGTTCTACATGATTGATTAATTGATTGATAATTTCAGGCATGCTAACTGCTTAGTTCATTAGTCCTGCAAGAGTAGTGAATGTTTATCATGGGAGATGACAGTAAATTTCCCGTTGGATGGCGAGATCCAACACCAAACCTACCTGTCAGGATGCAGGTTTTCCCCCAACCAGGTATCTCCCACTAGTGAGGCACCCCCTCAGCTGAGACCAGATCTAAGCTCCCGACCAGCCTCTCGGTCAGTGTGGTGGTATAGTGCAAGTAAATGTAAATATGTGTAAGTAACAGGTGAGGATAGAACAAGGATGAGGAAGGAATGATCGCGGTCAGTGGCCCTTTTATTATGATACTGATTAGGCATTTGCCTGGTGTTGATCAGAAAAAACAAGAAAATCACCGATGAGAGCAGCCGGCCACAATAATTTTTCTCTGGACAGTGGCTTAACTTGATCCAGTTGTGTAGCTCAAGTAAAAAATCCTGCCATTGTCGGGACTTGACCACTAGGACCTCCCAGTCAGAGACACTGGAGTAACACAAATTCATGTACTGAGCTACCTATGCCGGTATCCGTACTTCTTCATAATATATTTCTTTAGGTAGGGAAGTGTTTGTGGGTTGATCAAAATGGGATTTTTCAGTCTCCTGTGCATTTATTGACTCATTTTTGCATTCGCTTCCTTTTGCACAGTCCTCTGATTTCATTACAGTCATGGCTAAGTAAGAGCAAACTAAGAGTTATGACATCTTTTCTTCTTTCGCAATATAAATTTTCTATGTTGACAATTACGCAGTCCATTTTTGTTCCCCTGTCACTTCTTTCCCCTCAGAAGATCATTTATATTTTCCTTATTTGTCATTTTGACAACATTAGGAAGGTTAACAGCATCAATCATATTTGAGTGATGGGGTCATCTTCCTACAATACTGAAATAAGTTCAGAAGTTGATAAAGGCCTTTATTTTCATCTATCATTCCCGAAATAAGACAAATTTTAAATAATGTCCTTCCTGAAAGAAGAAAACTTTTTTATAGAAGATAAATTATTAGTCTTGAAGCATTGTTAACAATGATGCAACAATACAGAATAAGACACTATCTCCAAGATGAGATAATTATATTGAGATAATTATATCAGGATCTGAAATATGAAACAGTAGTTACATGTCTATTCCTCAACATTTACATTCCAATTGCATTTGTTCTATAATGTTCAGCCCATATACCCCACTAATCCCAATATTGCGCAAACGCATGATTATTGGAAATACGCAATGTAAGGACTTATTTACATAATTAACATAAAACAATAAAAGAAGTTTCAAGCAGGTTTGTCGAGTAATATACAATAAAAGAAAGTATTGTGTAATAATTAAATTAAAAATTGAAAATCAATAGCACAATCCATTACATTATCTCCAAGTTTTAAAATTCAATTAAGCCAAATTTACGCTTGGATATGAATGAAAAAAACATAACCATAACCTTATCAAATAGCATTTCTTCTTAGTGCAATAGAGAACAAATGTATATTGAATCGTTTAAAAAAAAAAAAATGTTGAGTTTATGCAACATTGGGACTTAATGTGTTAAATGAATTTGTAGTATGGGAAAGGTTTGTTTTGACTTAGTATTCTGAATGTGTTGTGTCATGGAAGGCCTTACATTCTGCTAGCCCGATACAAGGAGTAAGCAAGAGCATAGTACCTAATGTATGGTTGGGGATACACCCCATGAAGCATACTGGTTAATAGGCTTCAGCTGGAAAAAGCTCAAAGACGAAAAGTGTTGCTTGAGGTCTTCATTACTTTAGAATCCCAGAATTGTAAATAATATCACTAATAACTTATTTTCATGAGAAACACAATGTAACTTGATACTCCTAAGAAGTTCTAAAGACAAAATTATTAATAATCACTTTGTTTCTTGAATTTGTTTCTTTATCAGCAGGGAATGGTTTATCGACTAGTATGGGTAATTGAAAATTTAAAGAAATGGAAAGGAAAGAAACTAACTTGCTCACGCCCACTTTGCCAAATGTGCGTGTTCTAGACAGTTCTGGCCGGATGCAAGCGCGCCCAAGCCGTTGATCTGGCTGCCTCACCCAATCGTCCCAGTACCTTTGTAAAAGAAATATAGCACATTATTCAAAACAAGTATTATTAATAATAAAAATAACAATAATAATGGCAATGTCAATAACAACAATAATAAAAATAATAATAAAGAATTGTAAAAAGAGTAATTCTGTCAATATGGTCTCCGAATGCAAAACATTTAATAATGAAAATTGAGACAGCATAAAATAATATAGTCTTCCTCTTCCTCAACAACCTCAGACATTTCCTTCCCTTTAACCGTAGATACTCGACTTTCTAGTATCTGGCCAACAGATTGAACCTCACAAGTTGTTAAATCATTGTCCACAATCCCATAATCTTGGAAATCACAGCCACTTGCCTTCAATGAGAGACCATCTTGCTTTTCGTATGCCAGATTCATTTTTGAAGCATCTTCAAGCATACCTCCATCTACAATTGCGATAGCTTTTCTTCCTAACTGCTTCCTAGGATACTTGAATGAATAGATGATGCCCATGTCCTGTGGCTGTAGTTGACTAATACATTTTGATGGCAAAAATATAACTTCAATTTTGCAGCCCACCAGATTCTTTTGGATGGGCAGGACACTGATCAACGAAGAGGATAATTTTGAGATTCTTGGCCTCCATCTGCCTATCTAATTGTAAGAGAAAGTCTTTAAAAATTCATTCAGTCATCCAGGCTTGTTGGTTTGCCTTGTATTTTGTAGGAAGAGTTTTTATGTTTTGAAAACATTGGGAGTTCTGAAACTTATTGATAACTAAAGGAGACAATTTTTTGCTTCCGCCAGCGTTACCAGCAGCATGTCGATTCTGTTTTGATTTAGTGCCTCCATGGCACGGATCCCCTTTAAAAGCCAAGTTTAGTTTTGTTAGGTTGGAGATGAAGAACATACCAGTTTCATCTGCATTGAAAATATTATTCATTTCATAGCCCAAAGTAAGCTGATTAATCTGCTGTTTTCAGTCCGAATCGGTGGCTGGATTCACACTTGCACATTCTCCAGAAGCAGTTTTGTAAATTAGATTCTGATGCCTTTTGAAGAGGTCCAGCCAGCCATTGGACGCTATGAAATCTTAAAGTCCTAGTCATGATGCTATATGTAGTGACTTTTCTTTTGGAAGTAATACATAGATGGCTAAATTAGATGTTCTCGCTTGCTTCCACCAACTCATGAGGGCTATTTCTAATTCTTCCATTGAAGACATTTTCAGTGATTTTTGCGTCATAAAAAATGACGGTCTGCATCTTGTGTAACACTATTGAATTTGCTCAAGCTCTTTCACTATTGAATTCAAAGTGGACACACGCCAACCCATTTTGGTGGCGAGGTCTACTCACTACTCGAAGTGAGCAGCGACTTCTAAAATACAAATTTTTGAATAGCAAAACACACATTTATTTGTAATCCTACCACCCTTCCCGAAACTGAAACAGTCATTGCTGCCTTTTCTTTCAGAATACCTGTCTAAATTAAGAGTCCTACTGTGCAAAAACTTAATATCAGGGTTTACTACACATAAGGACTTCACAAGTTAGAAGCAAAATCGAGGAAAATGTAAAATCACGAAAACGTAAAATCAAGGGAAATTATACATTACTTATATGGATGTCTTGTCAGGACTACTCAGTTATAACGCAAATCCCAGGAAAATATAAAATCAAGGATCGTAAAATAGAAGTTTCACTGTATCAGTAGAACTTAACCTACCATGCACCCCAAGGGGCAGGTGCATCAGTTTGAGAAATTCTGGCAAATCATGTATCATATGATACAATGAATTAACAACACCAAATAAAACCTTCATGACAATGATCAGGGGCATTACTTACGATGCAGGCCACTTTGGGGCTAGTTCGGCCCAAGTTTCTCGAGTAAGCATCCATCCTAATCCTGGGAAGAAGTCTGTACGATATAACAGGTCTGCAGCATTCTCGTCTACTAATGCAGCCTTCCCATTGTCATTCCATGCTGACACACACCAAAGTGTGGGATCACGACGAAGAAGAGGTAATGTTGCACTGAAGTATTCAAAAAAATCAGGTGCAACATCCAGGTCATCTGTAGAGAAAAAAAGAGTATTATTTAAGAACAGGTTAACTAATGATGTATTCTATGCATACTATATTTGTATACCATAGTAGTTATTGCCAATGAATAAATTGAAATGAATGACACAATTATCCATATACAAACAATTGCATTTTGGTAAAAATATCCACAGTTAAATACATAAATAAATTAAATAAAGTTAGCACATAGAATAGGCAACTACACACCACAGACCACAAATCAACAACTGAAGAACTTAAATGGGATTGTCATACATCAGTAAATGAAGCCAGCTCATCTGGTCTTAATTCCTGATTTATAAGGCCTTTGCAACTTTACAAACATCATAGGTTCAAAAATTCACAAAACTTACACCACTAATTAATTATTGAATTTTCGGTTTCCGTGAGACTCCAGTATTTCCCAAATGACAGAAGTTCTTGGAGAAAAAACAATATCATTGGAACAAAAAGTCTTCAGAGAGATTTAATTCAAACATACAGTAAAAGTTTTTGAAGGGTTTCTTCAACATTTCTAACACTGAAAATTTATTCTTATGATCAACCAATTACAGGAAGAGAGAGAGAGAGAATGTTCTATGAAACTCTGAGGAAGGAGGATAATTATCAGTGATCAAACACTGATTAGTACGTTTATTAGTTTATCAAGTAATAAGCGAGTAGAAGAGTATTGAAAAGTCAGTATATATAACCTTTACCTGTAGTCCATTTTCTAGGGTGTTGATCATACAATGAATGACTAAGAGGACAAATTGGTTACTTTTATTTTACCAGGCACAAATCTGTATTTTCCTCTACAGTCAATGGAACAATAAATTTATTTATTCTTTATTTATTTAACACATTTTCAGTGGCAACAACATGACTTAGTCAGCCTGAGTCAGCGTTAATAACATTAACTACACATCATAATCATAAAAACTACTTTATGAATCAGCATAAATAGTGAAGGTTCAGCCAATCTGAGGCTCAATATGGATGAACCATGGATAGAAGTAGTCTGAATCTTTAAATGAGGTGATGACAAAAATCCAATTAATTATCAATCAATTTCCCTTATTTCAAATATTGCTAAAATTTATGAAAAAGAACTTAAAAGCTAGATTGAATACTTTTCTGCGAGTGTACCCATGCATACTACTTCTTCGAAAACATTTTGTGTGGTTTTGTTGAGCAGCATTTTTACTGCTGGAGACCAGTAAGTAGTTAATAATAATATTAATATTATTATTAACTACTTACTGGTAACTACCTACTTACTTATTTATTATTATTATTATTATTATTATTATTACTGCTATTATTATTATTATATTATTATTATTATTATTATTATTATTATTATTATTTATTTATTTATTTATTTAACATCACATATCCCTATAGTGACTACATCAATTGTACAATTAATTTAATCAGAGAACATGTTATGGTTATAATTTTGAATATAATTATGTACGTTGATTTCCCACAAATTTCCTGGCAAATCTAGCTGTTGAGATGATTGTAACATTCTGCATAAGCTTCCATAGGTGCTCATGATGATCGTATTCCCTGAGACTTTGATGCATTGTCTTCACAATGGCTCCGTAGTTGATATTATAATAGAAATAATTCTTACTTTGCCAGCATTCCATTGTTGGAGGATATTTTCTGAGAGATCCACATACTTAGTCTTCTGTATTTCAACTGAAGATTGAAAGTCTTCATGACAGACACTGATAATGTCAACTTGCCTATTTTCTTCATTGAATGAAACAATATCAGGTTGATTACAGATGACTGTTGTCTGTGAGAATTGTTCTGTCCCAATACAGCTAATAAGAATGATTCTCCAAAACACTCTCCAGATTATACACAAGTGGGGAACTTGTGCTTCAGATGTTAACTGGTACTTCTGGACCAATTCTTCTTCAAATGTTTCTAGTTACAAAAAAATTTTGCTAAAAAATTTGTTATCACTGATGATATCTTGATCTCTTCTATAAAGTCCAAACGATTGTACTTGAAGTACGTCAAATGAGTTTTTCATAATGTGGATGAAATCCCCTCAGATAGTGAAGAAGGTCCTTGAAGAGTTCAGCATGAAGAATTGCATGAAGCAAAGAAGTTGTCACTACCTGGAATAATTCTACATGAAAATTTTCTGTACCTGTACTATGTGTAATAGGTACAGGGAAAAAGTAAGAGCCCAAAATAACATCCTGTTGACACATGTTAGCTCAATGTGATGAGTTTATTCATTTTCTAGAATTTGCATTCTTCCCTGATAATATTCATATTTTTCAGCATTTGATGATAAATTCATATATAATTAGCATTTGGATAATCAGTTTCCACAAAGAGGATTAGTTACAAGGGAACCATTATACTGCGGTCTCCCAGATTACCCAATTTTTGTTTCCAATGAAGTTTTTATTAATTTTTATTTCTGTGAGGGCATGTGAAATCTTGGTACATGAAAGTTCTGAATCTGGGGTTAACATCCTGAGGCCATGTATAAAAGGGATTCAAACAAATATAGAACCCTCCAGGAATTTTCAACAGTGTGCCGAAGAATGGAAGCACTCTCAGGGAATGCCTTGAAACTGAATAGGTCAGCACATTGCGCTTCAAGCAATTTTTGCAAAAAAAATGTTGTGATTTCTAATAGACTGATACACATTGATGATTAATGGAGACTCACCTTCCACAATAATAACGGTTTGAAAATTAAAATGAAAAAATGTTTGGTTGAGGGCCCAGCCATAATGACGAGCTATATTGAAATAGCCACGGAATTTCTTTTCTCTGGGTGGCACATCTATCTCACTTTGGTCAGGTTGCTACAACAAAAAATATATGAAAAGCTGTGATTGCCACATAAGCATTAATGTTAAACATGAAATTTTCCACTAATGTTCATAGGTCACACTCTGCAAAATAATACAAAACTTAGAATAAAAATCAAAATATTTCTGTATTGCTGCATCTGTTTAACCCATTAAAGCCCATTGCTGTCATTAATGACATTTCCGGTTAACTCAAATTTGCTCGTTGTGCTCTAATTTTTGAATTTTATTTCTTCAGTAGAGGTAGACATTCTAAATAAAAAATATAAGCAAGTTTTGACATTCCTGAATGCTAGAAGTTGATTTAGCTGAGACCACTAAAGCATTGTGTGCACCTGGCCAGGGTGTATTGAAGATCTGCATCGATTAGAATCTTATTCTAAAACCGTGGTTAGCTGCTATGAACCTGTGGTTAAGTCTGGAGTGGCCACTGTGAAGCAAATGGTAATTGGGCTGCACCGAAGATGGCAGGCCTAAGGTTCAACAATTTTGCTACTTCTAGAAAACTTGCTAAAATAACCACCAGCGGTTGGTGCTTTGGAATACTCTAGAAGTGTAATTTAGCAACATAACAATGGTTTAGCACCAAAAGTTGTAACAACATGCTACCAAAGAGCTCCCACAATGACTCAGCATGCACGAGTGTGACAAAAATGCACTGGCATTATGTGCACAAAATTATGTTGGGCATTAATGGGTTAATATCTTTAATATATGCTCATGTAAAGAATAAAAATTATTTCATCTTAGAGAGCACTTTACATCTTGAACAAGTTTCTGAATTACTAATGAACTGAGAACAATGGTCTTATGAAACTAATTAATACAATAACATTTTTAATCATCTTTCATTAAATATATTCCATGAAATGGGTAATGATAACATCCTCAAACAACATTAATTTTCGTATGATTTAAGTTATTTATTCTCTTGAAGCACAGAAACTAATGGAGAATTTATACACAAAGTGCACAGACAACAGTATTGTGCAATAGTGCTGCTGGTCTACAGAACATTTTAAACAATACTAATACGGCCAGTGAGTAAATGGGACCAACAAGAAATGAACAGAAAGCTCAATTTATGATATTCAGTTACCAGACACACACTGCCACATAATTAATCTCAAAGGACAACAAATAGAAGAAATCACATTCAAATATCTGGGTACTTACATTACCAGAAGCCTAGAATCTGAAAAGAAAATAAAAAGCAATATAGAGCAAGGTCATGATACTTCCAGTAAAATGAAATAACTTCTTGGCAATGACAATCTGAACTTACAGGTAAGGCACAGGAGAAAGTGCTATATTTGGGGTGTTGCTGTACACAAAGAAAAGAGAAAAGAAGAGGAGAAAAAAACAAACAAAAACAAGAAAATAAATATGCTTTTCAACAACTATATGTGTAATTACTGTGCGAAATCAACTACCATGTCTGAGTGTTGTAAACAGAACAACTTTATAAATTATAAACTAAATAAATATTTGGTTTGACATTATTTATTCTTTATGAATATTATTTAATGAGAAAAGTTCAATGACGTTTGTAGTAACATCTCTGTATTATCATTTTAAGTATTATATCCTCAACATAACATAGCATTTTCTTTCAGACAACTCCAGAAGTTCTATGGAAAGTTCACAAACACTTTTGTTCAAATTTATTATGAAGGGTTTGGGGCAGAAATAAGATACGACACATTTCAAACAAAATGGAGATATTAACATTTACAAATAACAAGAAGCTTGTTCTGGCTGGTGTGGCTTATCATTTTTCTGCCCCAAGCCCTTTAATTTAACAGCAAATTATATACCAAATACGAAACTTGGGTGGGGCACTGGGCCTGTAATTAAACAGACTGAAAATACCCACAATACTCTCTAAACATACCCCTCTGTACTCTGGTATCTCCAAGTACTCTGGAAAGAACACACATTAAAAACTGTGCAGCTGAACTGGAAAAAAGTGTGAATTGAGGATGTGGATTGAGGAACAGGTTACTGATAAATTTTTAGCTTGCTAAGAGGGATTGTTATGTATGTAAAGGAGCAATTTAATAAAATTAGGTCTTAAAAATAGTCATGCTATGTGGAAAATTGTGGAAACAGGCAACATGCTAACAAAGATTCCAATGTATCTGTAACTGTCATATATTTGTATTTATGTGTATCTGAACATTTCTAAATGAAATATGTAACTGGTAACAGGTAGAAAGAGTATTCATTGCTAAGCTAAAGTTCCCAATATCTGTTTATTGATGAGGCAATGTATATAATGTTTATGATGTTGCAATAGGCTTCATATTCAATATTTCATTAATTTGGGAAAAGTAATTTTACATATTAACTACTAAAAATAATCTGCATTATATGAAATTAAATGTTTTAATGAAACATTTCCCTTATAACCACTCATTTCAGCTTTTGTGTTCAAAATTAATTGGACAAATGCAATCATTAAATATGCAAGAGAAGAAAAAAACAGCTTTGCTGCAATTGTGTGCCACATTGGGAGAGATACTTGGAAGCTAAAACAAGACACTTCTGTAGCAACTGTTGAGATCTAATTGACACTCCTCACTGTTGAGACACTTGAAAGCTCTTTGAAGCAGTCAGTTTCAAATCAATGTATATTATGAAGAATAAAAAATTGTTATGGATAGGGCTTCCTTAAAGGCAATAAAATGCACATTTGATTTTAAGAATTAGGGAGTACTAGGAGTACTTCACAACACAATAGCAAGTTAGAAGCATTCAGTGGTTTGAATAATTTACAATAGGACATAAAATAAGGAATTTGTAACAAATAATGTTAATTGTTTTTTGAAAGTGATACATAGAATTTCAACTCTAATAAATTTAAATTGCTTTTTTAAATTGCCACATACCTAATTTTGAAACAAAGATAATATGATATTATCAAAGAGAGACTAGAAAGCTAAAAAACTCAATATTTTGTCATGAAATACTACATACTAACAAAATGACAAGTTGTTTGTGATACTTTACAATTTCAATACATTTCTAGAAAAAATGTAACATCTCATACGAAATATCAGTTGCTTATTTTTTGAAATTCCGATGCCTGACAGTATAAGCACTGAAATTTGAGATATTTAGATCCATGTTATCATGTTTTCCAAATATAAAATGTGTGAAAAGTATTGTGAATACCACATGACAAACAGCTTATAAAGAGTGAATTTATATAAGAAACTCACCTGGATGAGCGAAATGCGGGAACCATAAGCTGTGAGTGCATCGGCTGTGGGAGTATGTTTACAATCTTGTGAAACAATTATGGGGAAATGCTCAGGAGAAGGTCTGTAAGTCAGGAGTTGATCTAGACACTTCCGCACAGTCACTCTGTTGCATGCTAACACCAATACTGCAACAGCAGGCACACCACCCACACCAGCTGCCAAGGTTCGTAATCGCTCTGCCTACCAAAAAAAGAAAAAAAACAACACAAAAAGAAAGATTAACTTTTTTCGAAAATCTTGTTATTAAATTGATCTATACTTGTATTTAAATGTATAAAGTTAACAAGATTTGTACCATAGAAATACCAAATTTTTTAATTTAAGAAAACAGTATTACATAAATATATACTACATCTCTCTGAACTGGATTACACAATTTCCATTCAAGATTGATTTTTAACATTGGTCACCAGAAATTCTGAATGTATGTAATTCAATCAAAATGAATACCTTCACTTATAATATTACTGCATTATAATTTTAATTATTATTGCCTTAGTAAATGTAAAAGTTCTGAATGTTACAATGAATGATAGCAATATGTCAATAAGTAACTGTCCACAATGTACTGTAACATAGCTACAACATTTCAAAACTCTTCAATTACTTTTTCCTCAGGTCTATTCACATCAACGAAGACAAATTTCTCTCATTTGTTCGAGGTAAAAATTAACTTCAATTTTTATTTTTTATGCATGTACCAGCATAGCTGATTAACTATTAAATGTTGTACATGCCACAAAAATGCAGGATATATAATGAGTATTTGTAAATTACATTCAAATGCAGAGTAAGAAAACAAATCAATCTGGCTCATGCAATTCATCTAATCTCAATATTTCCTGGAATGTTTCTAATTGGTGTTGAAATGAGAAGTTAATAGTAAATGAAGATGAAAGAACAGAAAGAAGAGAACAAAGAGAACCAAATATTGGATAAGACAATTGAAGGAAAGAAACTACAGAGAGCTAGAGAAAAAGAAGCTATGGGTACAGAAACTGAAGGCCTACTGCTCCAAGAACAGAAAACCTATGATGATGTAATGAGCAGAATTAAAAAAGAGGAGTCGTTGGAAAATATCATATACAGTGAAATACCCTAAATACTTCCTCGTATACCTAGTATAGAGAAAGAGATGTAATGCTGCAAATATATCAACATCATGATTTTGATGGAAATACACATTTGAGAGGTCTCAATACCAAAAAAAGCACCCCCGCCCCCCCAACATCATCTGTGTGTCCCTCTGTGAACACCTGCCTAGATCTAGCCCAGGATTTTTATCAAAATGGATATTTTCCAATCAATTTGACTGACGTCATGGTTTTGTGAATTTGAAATAAGATGTTTTAATTTTCAATTCTGCCTTATTTTCCATGGCGAGGCGCAGGTCTTGAGGCCAGTTCTTCCGCCTGACCATGCAAATTACTCTCGTTCCTTTCACCAACAGGCAGTGAAAGCAGGTATTACTTGGTCGACAAAACAGGCAATCTGAATATTGCTCAGAGGATTCATTTAGGCTTGAAGATATTTGACATGCAGTAAATCTACAACATGGGACAGCCAGCGACTTGGTCGACAAAACAGGCAATTTGAATATTGCTCAGAGGATTCATTTAGGCTTGAAGATATTTGACATGCAGTAAATCTACAACAAGGGACAGCCAGCTTTACTTTCCCTCTGAAGGAAGATGTAAAAAGTATTTTTTCACCCTTATCCCCAGCTTCAATTGGGTTTGAACCCACAAACTTGGATATAACAGCCAGATATGTTGTTACACCACCAAACCCACAAATTTTGGGACTTTATTTACATGAAGACCCTATGACCTTTTCAACATTTTCTCAAGAATGGCTCCAAATTTATTTTTTGCTAGAATAAAAAATAAGTATGATTATAAAAATGGGAAAGTTCAATTTTCAGGACACCTGAAATATCAAAAACTGAAAAAGTTTTTAAAAAATATCTTAACCTCCCTCCTGAAACTACGTCACAGAAGTACAATTATTATTCAAATTAGTCTTACACCTTTGAATATTAAAGCTGGAGATTCCTTTCTTAACACAATATATCCTTCAATAATAGATCTTTAAATCACTTAATATACAGTTTTCAACATTGAAGCTAAAGATTTCGTTCTTATTGAAATCTATTCCTCAGTGTTAGGTTTTTAAATAATTTCATGTTCACTTTTTGGAAGATAAAAGTAGTTTCCACGTAATTTCGAGTTACGTGTAAAATCCACCACAATAGATTAGCGAAAGTTAAGTGTATGGGCCCAATTTGCAGTGCTTGAGTTCAAATTCAGCCTATGTAAATATTTTTGAATGTCTTTTCCTTTCAACTTTTTGTATGAATATATAATGTCATAATATAGCCAATTTAGTGGTGGAAAGCCAATTTTTTTCAACTTTTGAAATTTGAAAAACTGAAAGATATGTATTTATTTTTTAATCTCTTATGCTCCATTTGGTTAGTAGTTATCAAGTGAAAGCTATAGTGTAAGTAGGATAGAAGTTGCAATGTTAAAACATTACATAACTATTACAAATTATATGAGAAATTATGTGTTTTTGTAGCATCACTCATTGGGTTGCCTGAAGATTTTCTATGAAAAAGTTATTTTGAGATACTTAAAAGAGGTATATTAGCATAGGAATAAATCATATTCTGATTTCATTGTAAAAAACAATTGGGAAAATGACATAGAAGTAAAATTCAAGAAAGAATAGTAAAACAGCACTTGAAGAATACCCCGTGTGCATCTTTTCCAGTAATGCCTCCTTATTGGCTTCTTTTCTTAGCATCAATAAGAATTCACTGGGTGTCATGGCCGATGCTAAGAAAATTCAGACTCTCCCAGCATACCAGGCCAAACAGTACCTATGAGAAAAATGTGAACGAGTTATTTCTAATAATCTGGGTTTCAGCAGTTAAAAAAGCATGGGGATGATTTGAAGAGGTGAAATTAATGATTCAATCAATATTGATTTTAATATTTTAGCACTGTTTAATAAATCAAAATAATGTCAGTTGATGCAGAGAGATTATATTGTTCAAAAAAAGTGTTGTTTTATAGAACACACAACTTAAAAGTGGAAAATTTAAAGACATTTTGGTTGTTATCAATGATAATTAGACTCTACAGATTTAAAACTAGTCATTAATATAGATAAATGACTAGAGATTTAATGAGTGCTGATAGTATGTAGTGGCAGAATGACAGTGATAACATTAGTACATCTTGATTCATTTGGAATCTGTTCCATTACACGAAGTATGCTGTCCAACAATTTAAAAATTTATTAAATCTTGCGGCATGTCCCTTGGAAAATATTCACAGGTTTTGCATTTCTGATAGGTTGTGTTCCCAAAAAATGTCAGTATTTAACAGAAAATTATGAACACATCTGAGTGCTTAACATGCAGTCTCTGTGTCACTGATGATATGGTGATGACAATGATGATGATCTAAGATACAGTAGATTTTGATATATTATAATTGTTTTTGAGAGTAATTCTGATATACTAAATCATGGCCAGAATACATTCTCCTAAATATCTTAAAAATGGTGTGTCATTTTCAATAAAAAACTGAAATATTCAATATCAAAATACAAAAACCATTATCATAGTAAGATAAATCATTTCACATCATATTATTTGTTTGTAACTATCTCAGTATTTAATTTTTCCCCTTTTCCTTTTTTCACAAATGTCAAAATAATTATGAGTCAATAGCTTGTTGGAATCAGAATCATTAGTAGAGGATAGTACAGTTTTAACATACAAGCTTTTAATATAATTACACCTTCATCAAGGTTCAATTGTAACCACAGTAGTTGATAGAAAGCTCAAACACAACCTCATCAAAGTTATTTAATGGAACATAAAGCTGTTTCTATACATGATCCCTAACCACTACAAAATGCACTTAAGATGGCTACAATGCAGCCAAAAGCACTTCATGCACCATTAAACAATTATGAGATTATGCCACTTCCTACTATGCCTTTGAGCATCATAACTTGAGTTTGCCTTGATCTGAAAATATTTTTTTGTTCACCTGTAATTCCTGTGGAGACTTTTGTGGTGGAGAAGGTGGTGGTGGTGGAGGCGGCGGTGCAGGAGGCTGCTGATCAGCTTGTTGCTTCTCAAGTTGACTCTTTTCCTCAACTGGGACCATTGCTTTGGGTTCAGGAGCTGCCGGAACTGGAGGTGCAGCAGGAGCTGAAGGAACTGCTTGAGCTGGAGCTGCTCCATGGACATGAGCGGGACCTGGAGGACGGTGGCCCTCTTGATCCACTGGCACATCGCTGTCATCATCAGCTGCAGACACTTTAAGTTCCTCCAAATGTGCGGGTGCAGGGGCAGGTGCCTGTCCAACTGACTCTATTTCTGGGTGGGACACCTTGGCACCTGCCTTACCTAAAGCAACCATTACAATAGCATTTCAGATTTCATTTATCAATATTCTATTTTTATTCTGTCATATCTCACATGGTATGTAAGCAAAAACCTTCTTTTTTTGGTAAAAAGATAAGCGATAATACATACAATATTATTAAGATGGTCTGCCTTTGCCTTCTATACATAATAGTCATTCATTCACCAAGGAAGTTCCAAGGATTGATCAAAACAAAGAGCCCGAGGGTCTTTGGTCCAAGGGACTGTTGTTGCCCAAGGCCATTAGAACCAGTTAACGCCCGTGGTACATACAAGATTTTATTTTGTACCTAATTTTAATGATTCAGATTTACTTACTAAATAACTAGACTAAATAACTAGAAATTACAATAATTCAGTTTGTCTTTTCATATTTCCCCTTCCCCAATCCCTCCATAAGAGAACATGTAGCATCATTCAACTGTTTTCATATTTCCCTCGTACCCACAATCCTCTCAATTCAGGTAAGTTATGCAGTGTATATCAACATCTAAGGCAATAAAAATCAATAACGTATCAGTAAAAAATAAATAAATTATTACTTTTTAATATTCCTAATGGGCTACTTCATCTTTTAATTATTATAAGAGAAGATTTCCTCACAAAGGCACATTTTTATGTAAGTTTATTACTGAACTCTTACTACTAAGTTCTCAAATTTGTAAATGTGTGTTTTAAGCCATCTTTATTAAAACAGGTTTAATTACCTAGGATGTTTGACAGTTTTGGTCATTTTTTCAGAAATTAATTAATAATGCATGTCAATACATTTTTCCACATTTAAAAACCTATTTAGAATTTTATGTAGCACATTAAGAACGTTAAATGAAGATGTTTACATTCATTATGCTAATGTTAAAAAAAAGCATAAATTGTGTGTTCCTTGAATCTAACATAGGACCGATGTCATTCCTTATTTTATGTTCAAGCAGCTCATTTAAAAATTCCTGGAAGTTTGGAAGAAATGCAACTATGACTTGACTTCTTTTTTGTAAAAGTAAACACATAAAAAACATTTCCTTTGAAGGCAATGTTAACTGATCTATATGTGTTTACATTACAAAGGGAAGTGAAAGCATCTTGCAAGCATCTGCCTGCCTGCCCAATATTGTCAAACATCGAACTAGGGGGACGCAATGGATTTTGCAGAGAAGACATTCCATGCAGATAAGTTATTCTTAAAATTATTGAAAATTTTAATTAAACATTCTTTGGAATTTTGAAGCGGTACAGTGGCGAAATTTGTCCTTGTAAATAGTATGATGGACTAGCTGATTATTTCGTTTTTCTGAGAACATCAACTGCTACGGTAGTTAGGCCCAGAAGTATAGTGAATGGTTTTATCACAGGCGGTGGTGGTGTTCCTTCCCACTGGATGGTGAGGTCTGGCGCTACCCAACAAGTCTGCTTGTTTTTTTCCCCCATCAAGTTGACTCCCACTAACAGAGCACCACTTTAGATGGGTCAAGTTCCGGACTAGCCTCCCGACATGTGTGGTATGAGATGCACGGTGCATGGAAGTGCAAGCGAGTGTAAGTAAGGGGCGCTGTCTATGGAATGTTTGTTAGCAAAATAAATAGGTTTTGGTGTACATTATTTTTTCTTCAAAATGAAACATAATATATTTACTTGAGTTTAAAATATTAATATTAACAAGAAAATACACTAGCATGTATGATTCTCAACGAAATAGACTTTACATAAGCCAACATCAAATTTTCTGAACTGTATTCGAGCTTTAGTACTGCAGTTGGAACCTGTACATCTTCATCTTCTCATCTGAAATTTTTAGTATCTAATGATCCTGACAGTCAAAACGTATGTCGTATCTGTTTATTAGTGTAGGCCTTTAGCCTACTTCTTTTAGTGGCCCAGAATAATTTTTGAGATACACTTGCACTAGTTCTCTATGATAATTCAGATGGGCGATTGACTGAGAATTGGACGAGGTACTTGAATGTGTTGTTTTTCTCTTCTTATCTTTTCCCATTAGTAATTGTAGAATAACTCCATAGATATTTGATGCTACATGTACTGCCAAATTATTATTCTACTTACAAGGAAATATTCAGTGGTACTTATCAATGGCAGAATGAATACAATCAGTTTCCTCCTTCAACACTTCAGTCTTGCTCAGAAGTGTACAGTTCATTGGTATTTGGTTTTCTCTTTCTGAGAAAGAAAAAGTGAAAGAAAAGTGAAATACATGGAACAAGTTTAAACTTGTCTATTTCAGCAACTAAACACGTGTGATTCGCATGCCATTTACGTCCCGCTAGGCACTAAAGGGTTATGTATGCTTCTACTATGTTTTGTGACGTAGAAAAATATTTTCCGCATTTAAAAGAGGAAATTTAAAACAAAGAGTTCTTCCATTTCTGTATCAAACATAACCTATAGCAACTGGTACGAGACCTAATGAGGTTCAGACAAGATCAAACTCCTCCTCTCCACGACTCATTCTCAACAATGAGCATTCAATAATTCAAGTGGAACACACTCAGCTAACTGAAGAAAATGATCACACCCCTCTTATAGCGCTATTACAATCCACATCAATTAGGGACTGTAAACTGAAAAAACAATTTTAGTACTTCTACAAAATAAATTTTGAAGAGCTCCACAGCATGCTTAAATAACCCTTGAGAAGCACCAACTCTACAGGTCTCTTCTTAGACGAAACGTGGAATTTTAGCAACATCCAACTATTTGTCACCATTGATGAAGCAGATCCATTTAAAACACCTATCAAGAAAGGAGACAAACTAAGGATGAACCCCAACATTACAACAACAATAAAAGTAAAAATAATAATATTAATAATGATAATAATAACAACAACAAGAAATTAACCTTGAATAAGTAAAGAAAGTATAAAGATCCACAATTATACACAACCACTCCTATACTAAATAATGAAGTTTCTTAAGCTATTAACCAAGCCAAAGAGAAATACGAAAATGGTCTTCTAGATTTCAGACCTAAGGTTTTTAGGGGTATGTTAGCCAAAATATGACTCATAAGAGCTCGGTTTCTAAAGTTTTACTCAACGATAAAAGAGACCAAACTACAGATCCTGTGAGAATAGTTGAGTTCTATGCAAAACAGTTGGGAAGTGTTTTGCAAAAAGTTCACCTGAAAGATCAGGAAGCCTTTAAAGAAAAATAAAAAAAATCATTCCCTGGTCCTAATGGTACATATCCTTTCCCTTTCTTTGATAAAGCTTGCAACCACTATCTGTAACACACACTCTGCCCTCATGGAAAAATCCTTCACTAAAGAAAAATTACCAGAACTCCTATTCACAAAAAAATCAATCATTTGGTGGCTCAGATCTACAAGATAATTTCACTATGCAAAATGCATGGGAAAGATAATAGTAAGAGAAATCAGAGAGTTCTGCCCAGCAAATAAAATATTTACTGATAACCAACATGGATTTGTCTCCAAAATAATCAATGACAACTAACTTATTGGAAAGTCTTCCGGCCTGAATGAGGAATGACAACTTGGGGATGACTACAAATATCATTTACCTTGACTTTGAAATGGCACTTGATCACATCCCACACCAGAGACTACTATACAAACTTGAACATCCAGGAATAAGAAAAAACCTACTTGCACGGATTAGAATATTTCTGAATGATCGAATGATCAGTGTCAGAATTGGAAACACTGTCTCACAACACCACCCTCTCTACAGTGGAGTACCCCTGAGTACTGTGTTAAGGCCAATTCTCTTTATTTTATACACAAATGACCTCCATTATCTGCTCTTGTTCAATGGGTTATTTTTCCAGATGATACTAAGCTAATGGCCAACCTCAACATTACTAATCTTTAACATGATCACCTTACTACCTGGATGAGAGACTGGCTGCTGAGTGTGAATGGCAATAAATGTGTGATACTCATTGGAAAAGAAAAATCCTCAAAAAAAAAAAACTTAATTCATAAATGACAATGATATCCCAGTAAAATTAAACAGACCCTGAGTGACTACTTTTTCTGATCTGAAATCGAATTCACACAAACAAATAATGAGAAAAGACAATACTCTCTACGATCTGAAAACCCTACCAAAATACCCCTCTTGACTACTTAAACAAGGCCAATATCACTTATCCATCCATGTTAAAAGTACGCCCACACTATTGGGTCACCCTAGTTTTGCATGGATGTTGAGCTTCTGGAAAAAAGTTCAGAGAAAAGCTTCTAAACTACCACTAATATTGAGGCATTCGAGATAAGAGAGACTCCAGCCACTTAATCTGCAATCATAATGTGGCAGGAAAATACATGGAGATCTCACTGAAACATTTAAAATAACTACTGGACTTTCACGTTCAAACAAACTTCCCCAAATGTACCAGAATAATCCAAACCTTCACTTGAGAGCACATGTACTAAAACTGAACAGAGAGAAAACTGAAAAAACCTGCAAAACACACTCTGTTCCAAGATCCACAGCGTCAAAAGTCAGTGTCAAAAAGTGTGCCAAGAATACCTAATTTCAGGCATAACCTCTCACCACAGACAATGCAGTGGCCGACAACCTACTCTTAATGATCGAGACCAGCAGCGTTTACATAGTTGTCAGTGCTAACATACAGGCAACATCGTGTGAAAAACAACACCACAGAAATCAATGTGGGACAAAAGGGGAGGGCAAAAGGAGATCCAACACAATATTAGGAGGTATTTCATGACTTTTCTCACCTCACTGTATGTTTGCGGCAGTAAACGTACTGGCGGCAGTAAAAGGGTGGTGAAGTTATACCTTGGTTTTGTTATTTTACAATCTTTAGATGTTCGTCTCACAACCCATCTGTCGTCTGCTCCATCGTAAGGCTCATGTACCTGTTCTCCGCTACAGCCATCACCATAAAAAGGACGACATTTCACTAGTCACTTGGCTTACTGTACAGTTGTTTTCAAAAGATTTAGCTGAACTAGTCTGCAAATATTTTCTTTTCGCGCTCTACCCTAGTGCGAATTCGCGTGGAATAGCATTTGCACTGTTTCCCTTTTGAATTTCTCTGAAATCAGCGCATCAGATTTTAGCAATATTGGCTATCATATTTTCTTGGCCTCCTGATTATTATGGTAATCTCTAGGTGATGGTATAATGACATTCTGTATATCTGCAGGAGACAAGTGCGGTCAGCACCCCCCACAAGTAGCACTAAGAGTGAGGAGATTTAATGAAGCTGTCGATCAGGATAATAAAGTCTGAATTTGGATAGGCCACATTGGGGCTCTCTAAAATATAAGAAATTTATTTTCCACGTATGGGAGCTTTTCATATTCACGGGTGCCCTGGATTACTGTGTAGGTGGTAAATCCTGTAAAAGTGCACAGCTTACTTTATTCTAATGAATTTCAGAACAATAGATAGCTTCAAAGTAGCCTGATGGAGATGGCAACATTGAAGTTCTCCCTTTGGTCACCAGAGACATCCAGCGAAGACTTACCTTCTATTCTTTCACTTTTTCACCTTACTACGTATGTAATAAACAGAAAGTACTGCAACGTTGCTGTACTGTCACCTGTTTCGTCATTGGACTGATATCTTTCTCAGCTAATGGTGAAAGCTGCTTGGAAATACTTTTTCAGGTTCATATAGTAGCAGTTACAAATAATGTGAGAACGTATGTGCTGTTTATAGCATCAGTAGTTTCAGCTGTGTCTTCCATTAAAATGTGCAGATTTCTATTTAACTATTCAGGGATATGTGATTCGGAAGATCATCTTATTTGGCACTTTCCACCCCATAAAGGCTCAACAAGTGACTTGGGCTTCGATCTCCCCGGAGTAACTTCTAGAAGGGAGGATGAGGTTGCAACCAATTTCTCTTTTCTGGTGTGGCTCGGGTGGGAACTGATTCTGCTGAGAAGTCCTTTTCATCCTGTTCATTTAAGTGGTATATTTGCTGCCTGTATGCAGGTCATCAGGGGAGACCTGGTAAACTGCAATGTAAACAAGGGTTTGTAGTTCTCGGTTTGACAGCTCGTAATCGTCTTCAGTTATCCCGCAATACCTGCGAAACTATTGGTTCAATCTATGGGATTTCGTAGGCAGTAGTGCTGTACTGTGCAAGTGCAATTTGGCACTTTAAGCAATGTAGAGAGTTCGGCACATATTATCGGGTGCGAAGATGATAAAATACACAGATTTTCTCAAGCATGAAGGGGTGCAATACACATTTGTGACATTTTTCAACTTTAGGGCTTTTCATCAATCAAATTCTCTATAAAAATTAAATACACTATTTTTGTTTTATTACCAAGAATTTATGACATCAGTTTTAATTATTTCAGAACTTTCTATGGTTCATAGGAAAAAAGAAAGGTAAAACAATAAGTCTATTATAACAAGACAGGAGTCTTAAATTTGGAAAACCTCAGTTTTTCCTGGTCCCAAACAAGTTTATTCAGTTTCATCAATCATTTACTTCTTGCATGAAAAAATAGATATATTGTTAAAATTATAATAAAGTGAGACATCCCGGACAAACCATAAATTACCCAAAAATTACGATAAAGAAATCTGTCTGGGCATCGACAACAGTATCAGATGTCAGTGGCTGTTGGTTTTGAGCAATATCCAAAAATAGTTACTTGAAATGTTATTAATATCATGATAAATTTTGTTGAAATCATTGAGGTTGCTGAAAAAATATATTGATGAGAAGGAAAAATTGATCGATGTTAATATATCAATGTTTATGGTCGAAAAGATCGATATTTCAAAAACATTTATGTTTATTGCCAACCTGGGGGGATTGCATTACCTTTAAGTGAGAATTCTAAGTTAAACTTCATAAGAATAAGAATATTTTTGTTGATGCTGATTTTTTAATCCTTCAACACAGGTGTGGTAGCATTCCAACAGAGGTTAAGAGAAAGGGGTGGTACGATAGTATGTAGCAAAGCAAAGTGCACTGCTAAAGTGACCTCCACAAGACATGCCACCACACAGAGAAAAGCTGTACATCTAGGTACAGCTCCCCATGAATAGAAGCGGACAAACGTACTATCTGAAGATAGGCTCTGAATGGTGCTCTGAATATTTAATATTGTTGGTAAAAACTATTATTTGTGAAAAAATACAATAAATGTTTCTAAAGACACCCAACACTGCATCACTTCTTTGACTGAGATAATTTCTTTTGATTTAGTATACATATCACCAGTTTCTTGGTGAGAATGATAAAGTTCTAAACTAAGTGTTGGAAAAGCATTTTAATTTTAATTATCCTCTCAAAAATCAGTATTGGTTTAGATGTCCCTAATTACTTATTTCAAAGGTATGTGTTCTAAATAATTATTTTTTTTAACATTAGTTGGATTCGTCAATTTATCTCATTTTCTGAGAAAAGTGGACTTGAATACTTTTACCAAGAAACTGACAAGTTATGAAAGAAAAGCAAAAAACCAAATATATCAACAAATTTTAATGTTGGAATAATGTGGGTTAAAACATTCAGGTCACTGTCCGTAAAATCTACGGCCGCTGATAGGGCCCCTTAAATTTCCACGCCCATAGAGTCTACACGTACGCGATTCATACTGCACAATTGATTGACGTCGTAGGCTTCCGCGGCCAGAGTCATGTGCGTGATCTTGGCTGTCCGGGTGACGCGTCGAAGGCTGTGTTGCCGACGTGTCGACCATCTTATCTTGGTCTTCCTCAGGGCTGGTAACCTTCCTCAGGCTGGTACCAGCCCTGAGGAAGACCACGACAAGATGGTCGACACGTCGGCAACACTGCCTTCGACGCGGCGTCACCCGGACAGCCGAGATCACGTGCATATTTGATTATTTACACCATTTTTCCGATCGTTGGCTCTTCATGGAGGTTTCTACACCAATGAAGTACCTAAGACACCGCTAAATTTTGCTTTCATTTAATTGGTAATAAATAATTTTAGAATACACTGATGGTCATGCCCTCTGTAGTGACACCCAAGAAGTGCTGTTCAAAATTACCATACTGAAGCCAATTAGTGAGAATAAAAAACCTTTTCTTTATTATTGCAATAGACACTCAAATAATGTTAGGCTTAAAGTTCTAATATTAACCGAATTTGTAAGAATTTATTTAAAATCAAAATGTTAAAAAAATTTGGGGTCTCAATTTTTTATGTTATTACTATCTTTTAAATAATTAATGTAAACAAAAAACTTGGAACAGCTTATAAAAGTACAAGATTGTTGCTTAAAAATAAAAAAAAAGAATCCTGCGTCTCTAAATATTGGTTTAAAAGATGTGACCCTTCAAACATATTCCAAACTCATACGACTTGTGATGAAAAAAAGTGGGGCAGAGGTTACGACCTCAATATATTAAGCAATTTTTTCATGGATTTTGTGATCACTAGATTACCATTAACAGAATCATTATCAGATTTCCATGATTTATCTTCACAAGATTACCAGATTCCATTTTAAATATTTATAATATTTCATTTCACATCCAAAATATAAATTATTTAATATATAGTTAAATATTCTAAACCATACCTGCAACTGGAGGTTGAACAACACGTTGTCTATAAAAAAGTGATTTCAAGTCTGCCAATAAACGTTCATTTTCAGCATACTGAGATCGTACTCGCTCCTCCAATGCCTCCAGATGACCCTCCACACGAGAAGCCTGGAAATTTCAAGTTAAATTTAAAAAAATTAACTGCACTACAATAATATTTTCATTTCTTTTCAAAAACAATACTAGTTTTCACTTTTTGTACATCATTCAAATTGTCTGAAAATAACTAAATGGTTAACTGGAAGAAGAACATAAGACAGAAAACTCTGGGGTATTTAAGGCCTCTCTCCTACCCCTCCCCCCCATTTAAAAAAAACCTGAGATATGGATGATTGACCAAAAACGCATCAAAATACCTTTTAATGGAAGAAACAACACACCATTTTGATAGTAATTTAAAATGCCACCAAAACTCCTTCAGAACTATTTTACATAAGTAGTCATTATTCATGGTAAGGCCGTCTTCCTGCCTTCTTTAACAGAAAGGATAGACAACAAAGAGAAACTTGAATGATAACCAAGACGGCAACACATGAACAAGCCAATCTTTTTTATAAAATTGGAACCTTTTAATACTTTTAGCAATCAAATTTATCAAGCTCTTTATATGGTCCTAAATGTCATTTAACAAATTACCAAAAGGACAACAATCATCGTTACCAACAATGGTGTAGAATACCATACAATAAGCTCAAACTACTTGCATCTCGAGAAAGATTTTTCAAAGAACGTACTCCAAATGTCTTGATTGATTGGAAGACCAACACAACTTACAGAAGGCATTCAAAATGGCAGTAGAAAGCCAAGTGAGAAGAGTTGAAACCAACTGTGAGGAGGAAAACTGGAGATTTTAAGAGGAAGCCTTCAACGGGTAGGAGAAGTGAGCAAATCACAACATAAAAATAAAGTGGACTGCATAGTTATCAAGCATTTGTGATGATGGTGGAAGATGAAGGAATTAAGAAAAGGAATTAGGATCATGAGAGAAAAATATGAATGCCAAATATATGAGATTTCCTGTTATTAATGATTATCAATTGTGATGAAAAGTTGAATATCTCATTTATTACACATATTCACAGTTTACCAAGCCAGTAAATTTCATAACCAATGAAATTGATTGTAATTCCACCTGAAGTGGATAAATCAATCCACAAAATATTGTGGTGCTGTGAAAATTGTGAACATGTAGTGAATGATATTTCAACTTATCAGTATAATTGATTGTCATTAATAATAAACAACCACTTCATATAAATATCATCAATCAGAGCAGTGACATTGTAAACATTAATGCCAACTGTTTTCTTTGACGGGATTCCTCATGCACAACATAATTGGGTACTTGCCTCATCCCCTTTTGTAACGGGTCGATGTAAGAACAGGTAATAAGTGGCTGCAGCCCACAAGCAAAGTGATGTAAATACAAGCCCCAGGAAGTGGTTCCTCCGCATGGCCAAAAACTGCTCACATCCTCTGGAGATTTCATCATACAAAGTTAAAACATTTGAAATAAATGCATACATCAAGCAATGCATACAGCAAAAACAATAATATTAGTCAATTTATATAAAAATGGATTATCTAAAAGGTTTTACAGGAGACTTTACAACATAAATCCTAACAACAATTTTAAAGCTGTCAAAATTAGACAATTTCATTTACAATACTGTTGTACAATACTCATATAAAGCATAGGTATATCACGGATGCAAAAAGAAGAAAAAACAAACAAACCACTTAGATACTAGCTGTTTAGAGAATCCAATGGCTTATCCCAAAATAATTAACTGTATATCATAACAAGCAGATACAAGACTACATAGTAGAAAGGATAGCAAATTTTAACTGGACACCAAGTTTAGCGTCACTTCAAAAAGACAAGTCTCAATATACTATGTAATGTTGATAACGCAAAACAAAAAAACATTACTGGCAGTACCATACGCAATTTAATCTTGACAACACTGCTACCATTTGTTACTAGTGGCAAAAGCTTTTATCTTCAATTTACTTAAAGTGCTTTCAATTCACATCAAGTGCCTGAGCCTCATTCAACAAAAGGACATTCAGATATCAATTACCTTCTGGAGGCACACTATTCTCGCTTGGGCATGTTGCACTTGACAGAAAACTGCACAAAATTTAACATCAGAAAGACCTTTAAAAAGCAGGAAATTAAATCCTTTTTGCTACACAAAATGCTTAAAGGAGACCACAAAAACAATCAAACGTTCTATCATTTCTTTGGAATTACTTCAATGAAAATAATCTGTCATATTCCACTAATTTCCACCAAATATTCTGCAATATGAGGCAGTTATCGCACTGTCATCGACGCGATGAATAATTTCACCTAGTTGTCATTTTACGGTCAACTTACTTTATAGGTTATGGTGTTTTTCCCTAAATTATGACACGACAGTCGTTCAGCAGCAACATTCACTTAAGGCTTCTTGGAACAATAAATCAATCGTATTGATAACGTACTTCAAACAAATTCCGAGCCCACATTCTGCATAAATGCAGTTCTCTCTTCCGTAAAACACCGACGTAAACTTACAATTATTTGACGTGACAAGTTTCGGGGATTCGTAGTCAACATATTTAAGTTATTTCATTGCGTTTTCCATAACAAATCATATGCTATTGGCACAAATTTTTGGGATGAAATGTGTCGTATATAGTTTCTTGATTATTTTCAAATGACGTTCCCTGATGTACGGCCACATAAACACACGTCCACCAAACAGCATTGAAAACGTTCTCACTGTCGGTAATCACGATACGGGTCAGCTGGTGTGGCATTGCGGGATAGGCTGTCAGTCCAAGCAATAAAAAAGTTGACGTTGCAAGATAACACTAGCTGATGAATGTAATGAGTGTCTGCGTACTTCAAACGGCCAGCTGCCATTCTTGTGATTGCAGAGCTATCTGATTATACCAAAATTGTGTGTAGGTACTTAAATTGAAATGTAAATTAACAAATGAATAACGCTTCTAAAGATCACGCAAGGCGGACATTCAAAATTTTGGTAGAACGAACAAGGATTTACTCAACACCAGGTGCATATGGGGGCAAGAATTATTGAGGCATTTTTTTAAAATAGAAAAGGTGAAAAACTGCGGAGGAAGAAATATCTTAAAATTACTGTGATAATACTTTAAATATTTTTGCAATAAAACATCAGTAAAAAATACGTTACATGCACTTGTAATTTCTTATCAAGAGTTGTCAAAACCGTCTTCGCTATCTTTGTTCGTAATTCTACTGAGAAAGGTACTACATCAGCCCTGGGGTAGAGGGGTTCGTGCTCCCACAGAAAATTTCGAGAAGGATCCGTTTGTCCTACCAAATAAAGCATATTTTATTTCCGTAAATACGATCAATTCCTGATTGCCCCATCCCCATTTAAGCTGGCAATTTAAAGAATTGATATATGACATTTGAGGAAGAAGCCCTCCAAACCATGACATTCTGTAACATGGTTCAACATAAAAACAATTGTATTTACAGGACGGCTACTTTCTGAGAAATCGGAAAAAAAGTCATGGTATTCCATTGGACAGGAAACGTCATAGAAGAGAGAGAAAGAGAGCGAGCGAAAGGAAGAGAGAGCGAGAGGGAGTGGGAGAGCGAGAGGGAAAGGGAGAGCGAGGGAGAAAGAGCGCGAGGGAGAGAGTGCGAGAGGGAAGAGAGAGAACGAGAGGGAAAGGGAGAGGGATAAAGAGCGCGTGAGAGGGAAAGAATGAGCGAGAGGGAGGGAGATATTTGTTGCTGTTTTCCATTTGAATTTGATGACAAAGACAGTCTTACACTCTTCCTCATCTATCAACCTTCTCGGAACCTTTCTATCGAAATCACCAGGGTCCGTAGGACTCTACAACGCAGCTGTCCTATTGACAGCACGTGACGTAAGCGAGGCAGGCCAGGAGGCACTCAGTCCCCTAGACGATGAATAACGTAAGTCGATCGAGACTGATCTGCCCGGTTGTGGCGGATCAGTTTGCGACATGGCTCTGGGGGCGTCGTTAGCCAAATCGTTTAACTACGCTCCGTGAATTCACGGAAGATAAGAAAATTGAGATACCACGAATTCCTGGTCGAATGACTGTCGGGAAACCCTGGTTACTAACGACACCGAGTCCCTGGCCAAAGGGAGAACAGTCATTGACGTGACAAGACAAAAACGTAATGATGATTTTAAGTATAATTTTTAAGTAATCTTTTCAAAAACGGTTCAATTTTTTTCTTTAAATTTTACCATCGTGTGAATTAAAGACCGGTAGAAAATTGTACCATTTTGGCAAACGCTGTACTTTTGAAAATTGCAGAACGTTAAAATTTTAAAACTAAAAATATGAAAATTGAGATTTTGTCGTAAAGTAATCTGTTGTAAAAATAAGATCTTTTAAAAAGACCATCTACAATTTTTTGAAAAAACAACAGTATTTCCGAGTAATTTATGCTTGAAGTTAATACAAATTATTTAAAAAATTATTTTAAAAAATTTCAATTCTTTTCTCTAATTTTTTCACGAATAAAAATGTGACGCTTAAAAGAAAGCAGCAGGTCTTATTTTCGTTGAACACTTAAGTTTTGAAAACTGCAAAAGTTAGAAATAATGCTAGAAAGTGTGTATTGTTCTGTATAGCTTTTCAAGTTTTTTAAAAATAATTTCATCTAATGAAAAGGTTGAAGGTACTTTTGTTGACTGTTGCTGTGACTTTGTTAATATCGTTATTTTTGTCGTAATACTGCCATTGTATTCTCGGCCAAAGATACTTCTTTTAATATGTGATCCATGAATTAATCAGCAGTAACAATAAAAAAATATAAAACAACGTATATCAATATGATGTGCATGATCAATGCATTGTTATAGATATGTTACAATTTGATTCCATTTTCAAACAAGTTTGTGAAGCAACCATTAATGGGAGCGATATCAATGACAATCAAAGATTCTATAAAAACAAATTAATAAATAAACATGCATGTATGATGTAAATTATTAATTTACATTTGTACATTTTATTACATGCTAAAGGCGCCTTGGCGTCTCCGACAAGTAAGCACTTCGAGGGGAAGATCAAAAGTTATATATTTTAAGCTATTTTAGGTCAATTTTTGTTTCTCGTAAATGTACGAATATACGGAGTAAAAAGTGGCGATTTGTACTATATCAGACTGAGGATTACTGCTCCATCGATTGACGGAAATGTAACTTTCAAACATCATAAATAATGTATTGAATACCAATTAAGAAACGCGCGAAATATATATAAAATTAGGTTGCACCTAGTGTCACACGAAGACAGAAAATTGGTATTCCCTTTGGACGCCTTGCCGCACTTAGCGACCAGAGCCCCCTCTGAGCCGTAAGCAGGTGGCTGGTTACCGTACGAAAACCACCAAGATCCTATATTGTAGCATAGCGTCAAAGAGAAAACACTAAGAGCTTGAGTGAATGCATTGCCTAGGAGAGCACCAGACGCCTGAGAGAGCGCTCGTTAGACTCTCTTTGATTTCAAAATGATTCATACATGGATATTGTCATTCAATAATGAAGATATTGCAACAACATCGATATTTAAGGTAGAAAAAAAGTATTGCAAGCCCAGGAAGGGCCCAAGCAATCAAGTAGGCGATA